TTTTTTTTTTTTTTTTTTTCTAGAAGTTGTTGCTTTATATTTCGAAAATTGGTCGAGGCCGGGGACCTTAGAATTCTACTCGGTGTAACCAAAAGGTATCCTGCTGGAAACCGGGTCCGGCGTCCCACGACCCGGTGTAACCAAAAGGTATCCTGCTGGAAACCGGGTCCAGCGTCCTACGACCACTCCACTTCTACAGAAAATAACTCCTCAAAAATACCTTGTAGCGCAGTAAAAAGAGGCTGGACTAAGATATAATAATAACCCTCTTATCCTTCAGCCGATGTTAGTCTTATAGTTAGGCTTAAATTCCAATCATACATCCTGTAGCCCTTCGACCCTAATGTCAAAATGGATGTCATTCGTTCCGAAGTAAAGCTATATACGCGAAATCTGACCTATGCCGTCCAGCCCTGGATTGCACCAAAATGCAAGCTAACCAAATGACGATGCAATCCTGAGTATCAATCTCTGCAACAAATCTCAATTTCAGGTATTTACTTCAGTTAACAAAATCCTACAAGGCCAAAAAAAAAAACCTCCCAAATTAGCCTTGATTATGAATCAACCCTGAAGTCGTAGCTACATGCAAGCCCACCAGCTCTAATACTTAGGGGCCAGCTTTCAAAATCACAACAGATATTCCCGTATTTTCGGCGTGCTTTTAAATTCTAAGCACTACATACATTGAAGTGGCACTAGGTTATCGCTAGATATTAAAAATCATACCATTCTTCCTCTTAATCTGGCCTACACGAATGGCCAGGTACCCACTCCTGACAATCAAAATAGCTAACATAAGAGCAGAAGGGGCACACAGTATGTGTTGTCAGATAATCTCTACAAAAAGCCTTGGAGTTATCGAAGCATTTTGAATCTCAAACATAGCAAGGATATTGAATCCGGCCTAGGTTTGCGACCTAAAAACAAAAATAATGTGGCCAAGAGTATAACAAGTAGGATATGACAACTATGCAATACGAGGACTGCTTATACTTCGAAAATAGCGCTTAATAGCTGCGCTCCTTTCGAACTGAAGAGTCTGGTAGATGTGTCGAAGGAAGCTAGCTGAAGTTCTTGTTCTGCAGTCTGGGCGGGTACATGAGGTATATATCTATGAACCTCGTGCAAAGGAGTTTGTCCAATCAAATACCGAGAAAAAGAATCGCACAGCAGCCTTCCAGCATTTGTGTACACGATAAACTCTCGTCAGTTAAATTCCACAAGGATTCAGCTGGACCTAGTCACCGCCCCGACTCATCTGCGTCAGGAATCCAGAAAATTTCATCAACTCTAGCAATTTACCAACTGAGTAATGTGAACAGCACTCCCACCGCCGTCGCGAGCTCTCCACTGCTCCCTCTGGCGCTGCTGTCAACTTCCCTGTAAAGGAGCCCAGTCTCGCGTGGGCATGCGCTGCTAACGAAAAAGTTCCATCTTCAAAGCTCCTGGCAGACTTCCCCGACAGGCAGCAACTCCCTGCCCCAAGATCTTCTCAAGGGGAAACGCAGTACTAAGCATACCACGCGGGAGCAGAGTTGCTTCGAAGAATGTCGCCTTGGCTCATTCATATCTCACGCGCCGGCAGCTTCTTGCAGCTAACTCCCGAGGTGTTAACCTCGGTATTCCCGATAGCATCGTTGCCTCCCCTGTGTTAGCGCTGCCTTAGCGCATATTAGCGCGCTAAGGTACCGCCAACCGACGCGGCCGCCCCTTTTTTGAGATTATGGTATATTATCGTAGTCTAAAAGTTGTTTCCGTCAATGTTGGTATTTAGAATTTATTGAATCTGCTGTTTTTTTTTTTTTTTTTTCCTGGTAGCCCAATAGGACGGAACCGTGGAAGTGCTTCGTGAACGGAGTGTGTGGGGGGCGTTTGAGTGTCTGGCCCAAGTGAGTGATACTGGGGAGAGATTGTGGGATGCGCGTTGACTGTATATGCCCACAGGATGGAATTCTATCTGAGGGCACACTCGTACTCACACGAGGATTTTTTCGACTGACCTGTGAAGGTGATCGAGGTCGGGTTTTGGTCTGGCGGCAATGGAAATATTTGGGCTGTGCCCTGGAAATCCAGGACCGGTACCCGTTTGTAGGATCCTCCTTCCAGAAGGTTCGAAACGAGGATAGCCTGAAACTGGGACTGGCTTTGCCTATTCGTGCTGGACAGGATTTCCTGTTCCTGGTCTAACAGGACGCACAAAGGTGCGGCTATCACCGGCTGGCTCACTGGCTGAGTCATGTGCATTGATAACAACACTTCCTCTTGCGACAAGATCCCCGGGCAGGTGATGCTTCTGAAAAATGGCCTTTTCGAAAAAAGGGTTTCCCGGTGGAATTTTTCGTTAAGGTCCTTCATACGTTCGCGGCTATGAGGGGCCCTATCTTGGATCTGACCGCGAGCCTGATACGGAGTTTTGCAGTTGACTAGGCCGCGAGCTGGTAAGTTGTGGTTTTGTTAGTTCGTGCTGTAGTATATAGGCAGTTAATTTTAGGCTTTCTTCCTCTTTCACAGCGCACTCGTTTTCCGCATTCATGTCAGCGCCTGCTGACGACGGATGGCGTCATTGTGTTTGCTGGGCGATTTGTGGTTCTTGGGGTTGCCGGATTGAAGGTGGGGCAGTGAAGGGATGGGATCCCTATGATGCTACTGCTTCCTATTATACATCCCCCGAACCTGCTGACGACGGATGGCGCCATTGTGTTTGCTGGGCCGACTGGTGGTTCTTGGGGTTGCCGGATTGAAGGTGGGGCAGTGAAG